GATCTCCATGTATCTGCAATATACTGTCCTCCAAAATTCAAAATATCGTCATCAGAGTATACATCATTTATTTCTCAATTTGGATCTAAATTTATTATAGGAGGGGATTTCAATTGTAAACATTCTGCATGGGGTTCACGTTTAACTACTGCTAAAGGCAAAGAACTTTATACAGCATTAGAACAAAACTACTTATCTTACATATCAACAGACAGTCCCACATATTGCCCCTCAGATCCAAGTAAATTCCCAGATCTCTCTATCTTTAAAGGCATTTCCAAATTTCAAATGAATATTGAATCAAGCTATGACTTATCGTCAGACCATTCCCCAATCCTATTAAAAAAAAAACATTTAGTTAATTCGATGTCCGATTCGTGTCCATTCCGTTCAATTTTCACATAATAAATTCTCTGACTGGGTCCATTACAAAAAAAAATTCTGAACTCTAGAACACTTCCAAATATAAGGCCAAAGAACACGACCGATATAGAAACTCAATTACAATTTCTTACAGAAATCTTATGCACGACAACAGAACAAACTACTCCGACCCCAAAAGCAACAAAAGAATAAATAACAATTCCTATTGAGATCAAAAATTTACTAAATGCAAAAAGAAAAGCAAGACACATTTGGCAACAGTCGCATAAGCTTTCAGATAAGACTTCTTTCAACTACCTCAATAATATCTTGAGGAAAAAAATAAAGAAATGGAAAAATCTCTCATTCAAATCCTATCTGATGGAACTTAATAGATTTGACAACTCAATTTGGCAACATATTAAACAAAAGGCTAAACCACCTCAAATAAATTATCCTTTAAAAATACCACACCAAAACAGCTTTAAATGGGCGAAGAGTACAAAAAAATAAGCGGAAGAATTTGGTGATTACCTGAGAATTACTTTCAGTGCTCAAAACATAACTCCAAATTTAGAAATAGAACAATTACTACAATCAAATATCCAATTATTCTCAATAAGACACTTTTCACCGAATGATGTTTTTGAAGAAATTAAGAATTTAAAAAATAAGTCAGTTATGTTAATGATGTTTTTGGTCTGTATCTTCGAAATGGCTTCCTTTGCGAAAAACTAATCACCACTTCTCCCAATCATTACAAATTGAATGATTTTTGGATCATTCAAATCGGATACTTCGTACTCTCAAAAACTTGATTTATATCTTCTGCACTCTTTGCTCCGTATCTCCGTAACGGCTGGACCTGCCTTTTTCAAAAACTAATCAGCACATCTCCCTATCAATAGGAATCGAATGTTATTTGAACAATTCGAATCGGTTGGGACGAAAAATTGCGGACATGCAAAACACACACACATCCATTTTTTCTGAGGTGTGCCAAAATGTTCACAAACCTCTGAAACGTAATGATATGCAAAAAATTTCATTATCGACTTTCGGCCCATTACTATAACTTACCCTGCGGAAAGTTAATTAAGTTTTAGATAGTGCTTGTGCATTCTAGTATAATCAATAACTATTTGTTTATTACAGATCGCGATGCAATCGATCGGACTATTGCAGATGCTTTAGTGAATAATATGATAAAGATGGTTGGCTACAAACACGATACAGGTGAGTTAATTTTATATATGTATGTACCTATCGATAAGATTATGAAAACTGATCGACTTCTATATAGTGATATATAATAAAAATTATTGAACTTACAGATAATACTACTGACAACTATTCCAGTCACATACAGCGCATAAGTGCCCCCTTACGTGCACCACCAATACAAAGATCTCGCCTGACTTCTACACAAAAAGCAGATAACCGAGCACTCCAGGCTAAAAGAATAAAAACAAAAGATTTAATTTACCGACGTCTTCAAAAAATGCATAATGATAAGAAAAATACTACGCGGGAACATTTGAATAAAGACCAGAAAAGGTCTAGATCAAAGACGAATGTATATAATTCCAACACCGATCATTTTATTAAACCACTAAAAGCCGAAGATCTGAGTATAGACTGGGCTAAATATGTTGGAATACAGGATGCTTTCAGAAATCCAATAATAAAACCTCTCAATTTCACTGTTATACCTGCTATATATAAAGATCAAAATAATTCAGCATTGAATATAGCAACTTTAACTTCAACCAGGAAAGAAGGCAACGAAATTCCAGATATTAAAAGTGATGGAAAGGTGATAGAAAAACTACAGGACAATAACACAACGATAAATAAGATCGAAAGTAATACGCCTGTTCCCCAAACATCTAAACCCCCACCAACTAATGATGAAAAGAAACCCAACGTTCCCGAGACAAGTACTTTAAGTCACGACGAGATTTTAAAAGAAGTGCGACGATTATTTTACGAGCGACACAAGGGACTAACACGATTCAACTAACACGATGTAATGCAAGAACTTCCTATAATATATAATAAACCAACAAGAATTTAAAAGTCGGATACAAATTGAACCCCTAATCTAAAAGTAAAAATTACACCGGCTATAACTATTTTACTGTTTTTATTCTGCGATCTTTATACAAAACAATAGACAGAAATTATTCAACATATATAAAAAAACGTTATGATTAGATATTAGAAGATACACTCAGCGGAATATATATATATATATATATATATATATATATATATATATTAGAGCGGTCCTTAATATGGACATTTTCGAATTTTATTTTCGCTCTTAATATTAACTTTTAGATTGTGCGCAATTCGATCAAAGCTTCGTATGGAAGTAGCATGGAAAAAATTACGAAAATTTTAAAAATGTTTTTTAGGTATAACTTAACGACAAATGAATTAAAAGTGATAATTCGTGTCATTTATTGAAAATGCAAAACAGGTTTTCTATAATTTGTTTTGTAGAGCGTCGAAATTTGTTCGCTAAGTTATATGTTCGCTAAGCTATATTCCATGCTATTTCCATACAAAACTTTGATTGAACTGCGCACTATCTAAATGACAATATTAAGAGCTAAAACTTATAGAGGATTTTTTATCAATTTGGAAGCATTTGAGCCCCTGGGAGCAAGGAAATTCGAAAATGTCCATATTAAGGACCACCCTAATATATATATATATATATATATATAGGTTGTCAAATATCTCCCTTCCGCTTTTTTGCTCTTGGTTTATAATACAAAAAGGCGGAAGGGAGATATTTGACAACCTAATATATATATATTAGTGATATGCCAAGTCGAATCAAGTGATCGAATCATTCGAATCAAGCCTTAAACGACTTGATTCGAATCAAATCGTATCAAGCCGCGAAATATTTACTGTGACAAAATATGCATGAACACAATTTTTTTATAAATATAAAAAAAATGTTTTGATTTAATTCAATATTATAATGATATAAACAATAATAATAAATAACATAAATGACAAATATAAAAAATAATCATGAATTAAATCATGCGAGCCACCCGGCTTTAATATGCTTAAATGTATCAGCCGACTCCAATCGTCTTTATATGACTTTAACCGCATTCATCGACTAACTATATCATCCGACTTCATATGGCTCAAACCGAATCATTCCGACTTCAAGCGATAAGACTTCAATCGACTTCATATGTTTCAAACCGAATCATTCCGACTTCGAGCGTAAAGACTTCAATCGACTTCATATGACTCAAATCGAATCATTCCGACTTCTAACGATAAGACTTCAATTGACTACATATGACTCAAACCGAATCAATCCGACTTGCGATATGAGTTCGAAACAGATACAATGCGTCGTCGTTCATGCGTGTTTATTTATTATACACAGCGCTGAGGGCGATTTTGTTCGTGAAGTATCAATACCCAATTTTAATAATAATTAAGTGTTTTAGATTTTAAATGTTATCAGAATAATCCACTCAAAATTATCAAACAAGTTTCGGGAATCTTTCAATATAATACCCTTTTGAAACAAGAATTCACCATTACCAGAAAGCCAGTAAATTATATTCAACTTCTGATTATGTAAGTAATGGCAAATTCACATTAATGAAATTAACTTTCAGCTCTCAGGTTAGATGCGATACTTTACTGATTACATAGTAAAAAAAACAATTGACCCATTATTCCAAATATTATTTTATATGCTTTAGTGATGCACAATTGTTTGGTAATCTATTATTGTAAATCAACTTGTAGATATGTATCAACCGCCTTTAAAATTAAATAATTTTTAATAATTTTCAGAATATACTTTTTGACAGTAATTTATGTTTACAATTTCTACTTTGTCTGTTATAATGGTTAAAACTAACAATTTTGATTATAAATTTGAATTACTTTTACTAAATAAATACATCCATGATTTTTTTTTGTCTATATATTTACTTGATTCGAGTTGATTCGAATCAGGTCTTTTTCTGATTCGAATCATTCGAATCGGGAATTTTCCGAGTCGGCTCATCACTAATATATATATATATATATATATATATATATATATATATATATATATATATATGTTTAATTTGAGTTTAATAATCGGGCGTAACATCAATAAAAATATTATTATTATTGTTTTTCCACAAAATTTCCTTTCATATAATTTATTTAGTTTCAATTTTTATAGTTAACTTGATTACCACTGAATGATGGCTAAGATGCTAGCCGAAACGTATGGATTTTAAATAAATAAATTTTTAAAAAAAAACTCATACTATTTTATTGATGTTACGCCCGATTATTAAACTCAAATTAAACATATATATCAACATCAAATTCAAGACTATTCAAAAATATATATATATATATATATGCGTATGTGTGTGAAGAGCTTCGAAAAAGAATCCAAAAAGTAAGAAAAAATAAAGTTTTTTAAAAAAATATTTTTGTTATTTATTTACTGTCGATGTTTCGGAACTAGATTGGAGAAGGCTTATAGGTCAAATATTTCATATAAATCAAATGCCTCTCTACACATTATACATTACATTTATGCATTCATAAATCAATTTGCGCTTACACTGTCACACTCAATTCATATTTATGGTTTCGTACTTAATATGTTATCTGATTTAATAACTTTTACACTTATTTTATAATAATTTATTAGTGAACAGCAATCAGAAAAAACATTCAAGTAAATACTTCCTCACTCATACATATACATGCACACTTATGTAGATACACATATAATTATCGTGCTAGAATTTGTGAATCAAATAGTAGTCGCTCCAATAATTGAATCTCCAATTCATCTCATTAGCCTACAGTGAAATGTGGGATATGTTGCAATAAACAATTTATGAGGCTTGAATATTATCAATTGAGATCTTTATTATTTAGTTTCTACAATTTGGTTTGGCAAAACACTGTGCAACTGTAACATTCGGGTGATCTTCAAGTTTCTGATAGTGATGCACATGGTAATGAGCTTCATCTCAATTTGTGTCTACTTCATCAGAAAATTTTTCTTTCAATGAATCACTGCAATACCTTTTCTGTCCCAATGAGCCATATAGAAAATTAATAATCTAATAGTAATTTTCATAAAGATATAGAATATTTATTATTATTATTATAACTATTTTCACTTTTGTGAAAGGGCTGTGGTTCAAAGGTGTAAGAAATAATAATCAATGCATTTATTTTTTTTTAAATAACTAAGGAATTTAACAATTGAAAAAAACTAAGTCAGTTTGCATTAAATTCAAAGGTTGTTTGCAAGTAGCCAAATTATTGCAATGCATTTGTAAAACTCGTTACAGTATGAGATAGTCTTGCTTAGAGCAAAGATTTGTGAGTAAAATTTATAAAAAACACTATTTTTCATGGTTCAAAACCTAAGCCAATATCTATTAAACTCAAAGGTTAATTGCAATAATTCAAGTAGGCAAGTAGTATCATAGCAATTTTGCATTTTAAAACCTCATTACAGTATGATATCGTCTTGGCTAGAGCAAAGTTTAGCGAGTAAAATTTATAACAAAAACTATATTTCATAATCTCAAACCTAATAAAAAATGCAATTAATTGAATTAAGTTGAACTGAAAGAGATGAATTGTCCTTTACTCAAGTATTCACTTTTGTTAGATAATGCAATATATATCCTAGTTGTAATTTATCTATTATATATATATATATATATATATATATATATATATATATATATATATTTTATATGTATATATATATGTATATATATATATATATATATATATATTATTGATAAAACATTCAATGAGTAATAATAAAAATCGTTACCAATTAATATAATTATATATTATATTTTTTGTGGAGCGTTTACCTTAACCGCAAACATGTGTTTGTTTTACTTTTACATCTATACACAAACAGTGTAATAAAAGTACTCGTGATACCTATGATAATCATTTATGGCATTATAATATTTTTATTATCCAATCATGTAAGTTTGAAGTGATATTTTTTTATTACAGTTGAGCATGTTCATGCAATTAAAAATAATATACAAACAAACTCTCAAATAGATTTTAATCATGAATGTAAACAATACTAGCTGACACAAAATGGGCAAATTTAAATACTAGATTTTGAGTGCGTTTCACTTTTATGACTTAATGTTTCTGATATTTCTTATTATTTAATTTATTATTGGAAGACATAAGTTATATGGTTTAGACAACATTGAACTTAATACATTGTGTGTATAATTAGATAACGGCTTGTAAACAAAAACATATGTACATTTGTATGTCCAAATGTATTTAGTTTATAAACTGAATGCCATATTTTGTAATTATATTGATTATGATTAAATTCAAAAATGAATACCTGCTCCAATTTGCTTTATAGTTTTTCATTTGTCCCATCCATTGTCAACTGGTTTGATGAGTAATAAGATACATTTATGGTGCACCTTATTTATGTACTTTCTACAGTGTATCCAAAGAAAAGAGCTCAACTTGACATGATAATTATTTATAACTTGATTTCATACATGATTGCATATTACTGAAAAATTTTCACGTTAGGTTTAAATAATGACAACAAGACAGTTACAGGTTTCATAAATGTTATATGAGTTAAAAACTTAGTATTGGATATTAGCATACTTACAGAATATTTTTACTTAAATGCAATAAAAGAACAAGTAACATTTATTAATGTTAGTTTTTGGTTCAATCACAACCACAATATCACAAATGACAAATGTTTCCAACGCAATGACAAACTTGTTGCTTGTTGAATTTTTCAATGTTGATTTGTTAACGAATGAGAAACGCTTGGAAAAAACCGTTCGATGATTCAATGCGCTCTACTGCTAAATTGAACTAGACCTTTGTGTCGGACTATCAGGTGGAAATTATAAAAACAACCAGGTAAACTAGCTGTAAGTGGAATTCTGTCTTAAGGCAATTAAGGCATCGTGCCTTAAGGCAAATTGCTGAAACTTCCCGTACCAAAAATTATTATTTTTTTAAAAACGATTAACATTTTTGAAAAAAATTTACTTCGAAAAAATAAGATTTTTGAGAAACAATTAGACAAAAAATGACTTTTATTTGAAAAAAAAAAAAATTTTTAATTTTTTTTTTAAATTTTTTTTTTGAAAAAAAATGTTTTCTTTATTTTGACATATTTTGGAAGATCTAAACTTTTTTTCAAAGCAATCGTACTGCTTTAACTGCATAAAGACGAAATATCAAAACGCGTAAGCGCCGCGTCGCCGTCTAACGCGTAAACATTGGTACGGAACCCATAGGAATGTAAACCAAATTTATACTTATTGTTAAAATCTCTATAAAATATCTGATAATTTGATGTGAATATATCTAATGATCATTTTTGACCGCCAAATGTCATTTTTTTTACTTTTTTCATTAGATCTCCGAAACCGCTAGACCTGCCTTTATGATCGGTTCTTCACCTTGTCAATACAAGTAAAATGTTTTTTGAATTATTAAAATCGAACGCTCCGTTCTCTTAAAAACTGAGTAACCGTTTTCGGCACTTTCTGCCCCGTATTTTCGGAACGGCTAGACCTGCCTTCGCCAAAAACTAATCAGCACGTCTCCTTATCAATACGAATCGAATGTTCTTTGAATTATTCAAATCGGTTGATCGGTGTTCCCGAAATCGTCGATGAAAATTTGTATCCGCACATACATACACACACACACACACATACATCCATTTTTTCTAAGGTATGCCAAAATATTCAGAAACCTTTAAAACGTCGAGAAATGCAAAAATTTTCATTTTCGATTTTTTTGCGATCACTATAACTTGCTCTAATGGAAGTTAATAATAAAACTAGTAGGAATACAAACAACAAAGTTTATTTATTTACATTTATTAAAATATATATTTAGATTTTTAACAAAAACATTTTTATTTTTTACAAAAAACAAAACTTTGATGATTTCTGGTTCCCGTAGGGCGAGTTATAGTAATCGCAAAAAAATCGAAAATGAAAATTTTTCGAAATGTAAATAATTACCAAAATATTTCGAACATATTTTGGTAATATTCAAAACATATTTAATCTTTTTAAAAAATTATAATTTTTGGTACGGGAAGTTACAGCAGTTTGCCTTAAGGCACGATGCCGTACACCACTAGTTTCTGATTAGAGTTACGTGTTTGCATTTTCATCATTTTGAATACCAAGGCTTGAGATCAGAAAACATGGTCACTGCACAGTTCAATCTACTGATACATATGTAATGTGCCGCTATATTTAGTAGACTAACTTAAATAAACGCCCGAATTCTTCGTAGAATGTAGGGGCTACGTATTTCGTAGAATTTCGCAGAACTTCGTTCATCAACCTAGACACAACTATATTTACCATGGATACAACGATTGCCCCAAGACAATATAATTACGATTACCGAACAATAGCGAGTCTTTCCTAATGATTCCAAACCACCCCGAAAACTATACGAAAACGTTCTAATAGCTCTCCAACGTTTTTGTTTGCTTTAAAGGCACATTTAAAAAAAAACGAAATTTTCAAAAAATGCCGGACTATCGGGCATACCGGATACTGTAGAATTTTGCTTTAAAGCGAGTTGCATGAATACTTCCCGATACATATACATAACCAAATCAACTCAATAAGGATTAAGATTCAGCTATTTAGACACAATTTTCAACTGTTATTTCGAAAATAAAATTTCCAATTTCACTGAAAAACAATCAACACGATTTTCAATTGATGTATTTCAAAGGCACTTATATTATCAGTAATAATATAAATTGAATTAATTGGTTTAATGCAATCAGTAGACACGAAACAGAACGTATATATACATAGATAAAAGAGGAGTACATATATGCATGTTCAACATAGATTCTGATTAGAATCGCTTAAGCGCACGGCAAAATTCTAAATTTTGATGATTTTTTATAATTCAACCGGTTATCGTAGGCTTATACATTTTTTTATGTTATTTCATACTTCTAAATCTATTGTTATACAAAGTTTCATCAAAATCGTAAAAAAATCGGATGTTTTCGCGAAAATAAACTTTTTCTTCAGGAAGTTAGTAATATTCCAACTAACAAATAATCTGCTAACTATAACTATATGGACGCAATAAAAGGTTAAACTAAACTATAATGATAGGAAGTTTTGAAACATTAAGAAATCAAAAAAAATTCTATTTTTTGTCAATTTCAACAACTTCCTTCACAGAAAGTTAATAATATGAATATTTAAGTTAGCGAACTGACAGTTATTTATTCACATAGTATAAAATATATAACAAACGTATTTACTAATATTAAATATATATTATACAACTAAACTAAAAAATATGTTATGAATATCTTGAGGTACATCAGAAATGACAATCATCCAATTTTAATATTACTATAATCTACTTTCATTTGTATCAAACAATTTGAACTCATTGTTAGATCCTTGAACATACCATTCGAGTTATATATTTACCATTATTGTTACATTTATCCAAAAACCTGAGATGTTTTTAGTTAAATTATACAGATTTGATAACATATTTTACTACTTAACAATAATTGTAGATATACATATTAAAATTGATTTGTTATTGTTTTTTGTAAATTAAAAACCCTTTGATACAAATATATTTTCTTGATATATTTAAATGTTTGAGCAGATTTATCTAAAGATGTATTACAATAAAGGCCGTTTCGATCACTTTAACAATTTATTGCATGTGTAATGTCTTTAGAAGTGTGATACTTGAAAGTAATCAACTATGATCTATCAAAAACTTCCAATAGCACTTATATTTTGTAAATAATTATATCTTCATAGTGTTATGAAAATTACAGTCAGATGTATTTATATTAAATGTATATACAAAATAAAACACAAAATCTGTTCTTTTGCTCTGACATCATTTCTAAGCTTATATATATTTTGCATTAATTATTGAATGTATATCTTAGTAGCATATGCATATCAAATACGTCTGCTCAAAACTTTAGCAATATTTGATAGGAAAGTGCGTATGTACATAATAATATGGTTATGTGAAAAAAATATACACATAGTGACTATTATAACATACATATGCATAAATAACGTAGATATATGTTATACACTATATAATTGTGTTGCTTTGCTATTCTAACAGTCTTTTAATAATATCGCCTGCACAAATTTGTGATGTACTCCTTAGTAAATAATTTAAAAAAACTTAAAAATAAATTAAAAGTTACAATATGTCCATCAATAAATGTGCTGTATTAAAGATGGCAACTTCAAAATATATGCACAAGCCAATATTAAAATAGTAGGTACTCATTTTATCCCTGCACAATGAATATAAATATATTATATCATTTGATTATTTCAAAAATATCTACAATCAAAAATTATATTAAACTAAAATTGAAAAAATTTGGTAACAAAATAATTTAATCATAATGGAGTATTATACCGTTTACTATTGTGATGCGTTATGGTGATGTTAATTTTCAATTTATACAAATAAACAGTAAAATTTAAATAGTTAAAATCAACTAATGATTGTAAGATATTGTAACAAACTTAAGGCAACATTTGAAACAGATATCTTCAATCAAATTATTTTTAAGTTAACTACAATTTATTTAAAACCTACAATTAATTCTAACAATCAGTATATAAAATAACGAACAATTAGCATCGTGCGAAAGCGTTCATAGTTGCATATGTGATACATTAATTTATGCCTTATATAATAAACTGAATTTAAATAATTAAGATCTTCATTTTTAGAGCACGATCCTGTCACAATTTGTTTAAAATATTTTGTACTGGTTCATGTTTTGATTTACAATAAAGTTGCTAACTAAAGATGATGCCATTATATTAGATCTAGAATACATAATATTACTGTGACTACATCAGGCTGAAATCCTACATTGCTATTTAGAAATGTTGTACATATTTTGCAATATTTGGAATATAACCAGTATAAAATATTTTTAACAGTGATTGTTTGAATTTTGCTTCTATACATTTCTGCTAGCTTTAAATCTCATACATAAAAATAATCATTTAAATCAGATCATAAACTGAATCAGTACGAAATATATTACATTTTTCAATAATGTATATAATGATTGATTTTTTTACATATGTTCCGTGTATAAAGCATAATTCAATAGGATGTCATCGAGGAATGTATATATTTTTCTGATGCATGATTATTATCCATATTATATACACTGTAAATATTTATATGGCACAAAATATGTGCGTAAATAGAAACCTGATATTCAATCAATAAAACTCTAAAATAGTATCAAACTATTATATAAATAAAATATTATAAAGATATAAAATAAAACAGTAATTTAAATTATTACTTAGGAAAAGACTAGTAAATTATATATTGTGTAAAAATAGTCTAACTCGTGTACAATGCACATATTTAAGAAATTGCATAACTATGTACACATAAACTTATGTGCTCCAATTATTATGTATATAAAAAAGCTTAAATATGTAAAATTCTCATAAAATTAAATTATTATTAAAACAATGATTATTCATTAAAACCTACATTAAAATTCTGATTATCAAAATCTGCAGTTAAATATCAATCATTCACTGGTTGTCCATACATTTTCTTAATTATAATTGTCTAAAACCCGAAATATGGTGCTCATTTGGTAACTGGTAACTTGTTCAATATATGCACCATTAAGTATACAAGTAGCACTATGTACTTAAGATCACACCTCTGATTCAGGCTTCGTTTTTGGAGGCAAATCCAAAATTGGATCTGCCACTAAACTTTTCTCAGTTGTTCGTGAATTCTCAGGATCTATATTTATTCTATCTGCTTTATGCCATACCACTAGGTCCATTATAAAAGCTAACAGCATTATCATTCCAGTCGTCCCTGCAATAAATTTTTCAGAAATATGAAACAAAAATCTTGATATGAACAATTATAATAAATTGTATTACAATGACAATATTAATTTACGATCATTTGAAATATGATACAGTGCATTGGTAGAAACAACTTTCAATCTTTGTATCCAGCATTAAATGAAATGTTTAAACATTAGGCATATACTGTTGGATTAATTGTAAGTATACCACAATAAATAAATAGATTACCAATTGTTGGTATATTTTTATTTACTTTAAATTTGACTAAAAATTTAGTTATGTTCTTTTTAGTTGTTAAATTAGGTTTTAGATATTAATTTTCTAGAACATTTTCAGTTATTTGATTCTGATGACTGATTCTAGCACCAATTAGCTCACAGCTGTTATTTGATACTTGGCACTAAATAATGAGGTAAATAAAAAATAATTACCTAAGAAGAAGTGTCGGAACACATTGACATCATAGAGCCAGCAAGCCCCTTGCGTCCCACAAACTGTTTCCCACACGAGGCAAGCGGAATCGACTACTGCGCCGTAAATTATTGGACAAGGAACATTTCCGAACAAACCGATCGCAAACTGGATTACGCCCATTGCCATAGCTTTATCTGAAAATTTAATATAATATTTTCATCAGAAATAGTAAAAAATAGAATAATATTATTCAAAAAAAAATTATACTTTAATGTGCGTATCACTATTTGATACGCATATGTGAGTAATAACATTAATGTTAGTGAATTTTTGTCTAGTGGAAGTAATTGCACAGAAATAATTAAACAAGTAATTTGGAAGCAATCTAGCTAAGAAATCTGAGTATTAATCATGTTAAAGTGTAATGCTCATAAATTAATAAAAACAATTGTCATATATTTTTAGGAGAAAGTGATCATTTTATTATTAACTTCCCGTAGGGTATGTTATAGTAGTGGGCCGAAAATCAAAAATGAAATTTTTTGCATATCTTCACATTTCAGAGCTTTCTGAACATTTTGATACATCTCAGAAAAAATGGATGTATGTGTGTGTGTTTGTGTGAAAACTATTTTTTGTCGATGATTTCGGGCGTATGATCAGAATGGTTCAAAAAACATTCGATTACTAGTGATGAGGAGAAGTGCTGATTAGTTTTTGAGGAAGACAGGTTCAGCGGCTTCGGAGATATGGAGCAAAAAGTGTTAAAATGTCAGTTTTTAAGAGAACCGTTCAATCGGTTTGAATGATCCAAAAACATTCGATTCGTAATGATAGGTAGAATAGATTAGATTAGATGGGTGATTAGATTTTGACAAAGGCAGGTTCAGCCGTTTCGGAGATATAGAGCTAAATATGCAAGAAATGTCAGAGAACTAAGCATCCGATTTGAATGATTTAAAAAACTTTCTGCTTGTGTTGACGCAACGATTGCTATTGAAGAAAGATTTTTTTATTTATTTTTTTTTATTTTCAAATATTTTTTTTAATTATTGAAAAATAATTTGTATTTTAATTTTGATTCTAGTTAAAGTTCTAAACATCAGTTATATACTTCAAATAAATAATTTTAATTTCGCAATTCAGTTTATATGATACTTAGAAATATTAGACAATGTTCTTCATTTTGAATCCGATCGATTAAGTTTTGTTTATTTGCTTTTTAAAAAATAAGTATAATGAAAGTTACATTATTTATAATAATCTATTTGAAAACATTTAATATTCCTCGTACGGGAAGTTCAAGCAATTTGCCTTAAGCCGTTTTGCGCCCGGCACCGATTCAAAAACAATATATGTACCGCTCGGCGCCGCATTCTGACGAAAACGTTCCTACAATAAAATCGATATTATTGTGCAACTTGTGCAATTTGTTTTATATAAATTTGTGCACATTGAAAGATATACATTTACAATGATAGCTAAACTTATTCTCTGCAGCACAGCGAGTTGATTCCATTGTCGTTGTAATTATTTATAACGTCGTGACAGTTTTTTTTAACATTCCACTGTAAAATGTAATATATTGCTGTTTATATATCTCTATATTTTTTATGGATTTACAAATAGCATTTTCGTTATATTTCGTTTTCGATATTACAAAAAATATACGGAATATATGTACAACTGCCTTAGATGCATTAGAGGAGACTGCCGAGTGATATGCTAGACTTACGTTATCCCCAGAAAGGGACAGCCGGGCGCAAAGGGTTAAAAGAATTTATATTATATAATATATTGATTTATAATAAAGTTTACAATTACTCCGAAAAACGATGGTTTACAATGTAATATACGTTTAATTTCACCTTATAAACTACTTGAAAATCTATTAATATTAATACTTTTTACTCAATTTTTTTTAAATTCTCACCTTTGGGATCGGTGCATCTCATTATGAGCAGCATACTTCCGACTTCAGACGTCGAATGAATAAAAACAAAGAAAACGAATAGCGTTATGAATAGCACAAAATTTTCACAATTGTTGCAATAACCAGAAGTGGCAGTTGTCTCTTCGAACGCGTTCGTGGTGTTGGCATATGCTGGTGGTCCGTAGCCAACGGTCGAATTGTGCAGCAGATGGGAGTCGGTGAGCACGCATTCGCAGTGCGAGTACTGCGATCGGCCGCCGGTCACGTTGACGCGTTGGCAACCTGCGTGGCACGCTGAAAAATAGGTTCGGCCGTCCGAACCGCAAACTGGACTGAATTTGCCACGATCACACTCGCATGTTGTGTTGCAGGCAGCGTTGAATTTTGGCAGTCTGAAAGCAAACAAATTTAATCCTTATTTAACGTATTGTTTATACATATATTATTAAATACAAATTCATATTAAGTCATGGATGTATTAACAAAATTAACAGCATAGCATGCTGTATCGAGGTACTCGGATCGAGTTCTGGTACTGGTAAACTTGGATATACTTAAATTGTAATATTGAAATTATATTGCAATATTGAATAGATGTAAATATAATAGATTCGTAATATCGAGTATTGATAAAAATTTACAATAAATTTTTATTTTTATTAATTTAGTACTTAGAAATCAGGACTTTTAATAAATATATGTTAAATTTATACAATATGATATAAAAAGTTAGTATAAGATATAAAACAAAAATGATGTGACTAAATGCTCTAAATAAGCCAAGCCGGTCAAATTTGCTGAAGGTGCTAAACATTTCTGAAAAAATTAAAATATTTTTTAAAGTTTTTCAAAGAAACTTGATTATAAGCACATATAAATTTAGAGCGGTCATAATAAACATTATAATAAAAAAAGAATAGAAAACACTGTTCTAGATCATATTGAACCACTATGTTAACATCTGAATGAACATACGTTTATCATTTTTAGGGGGTATTCTACTGTAGAGGCATGAATTTCGCCCGGTTTTTGAAGCGCTGTATAAAGGAAACAAATAATACTTTTACTATCGATTTTTTATCATTTGTTTATTGATATTTTATTATTACATAAAAAAATTATTAAAAAAAAATTAAAATTCACAAAGTTATGAGCAGTCAAAGTGGGGGCTCAAAAAAAAGACGGTATCTTGGCGTGCATGATTCTAACCCTCCTGGTGATCCGAAACATAAAAAATAGATGGATTCTTAATTATTATAGATGCCGCTATCGTATAAACCTATGATAAGTAAAAAAAAAGTTTTTTGCTTGAATGGCGGCAGTTTGAAAAAAAAGAATTTTCTCTTGTTTTTTTAACAATTCCGAATTTTTTAAAAATACTAAATGAAAAGTTATAGTTTTGGGCAAGGTCCACGCGATAAAGTGATGTATAGAGAAGATCCTCTCCAAATTTGAAATAAATCGGTTCATTAGAACTCGAGATATCCTTACCGCCAGCTCGAAAAAAGTAGTTCCGAGAGAAACGCGTTCAAAGTTTTGAGTAGCGGGCGCGAACCGAGGCCACGTCACTAAAACGGCTCTAACTCAGGAAATAATAGTAATTTTGAAAAATCCTTTTAATGACATATTTTTGAATAATTAAACTTTGAAAATATGGAAAAAAATCGATTTTTTTAAAATTCTACAGTAGAATACCCCCTTAAGGTAAAGTGCTCTAGGAGCAATTATGGTAAGTAATCTAAATTGAGTTTAGTTTAATCACATCTATTATAATTTAATAAATAATTGCACCAAGTAAAGGTTTAGCAGTTTCTATATATGATGAATAAATATATAACTAAAAGTTTTTTTTGCACAAAAATAAATATATAATACATACGGTGGTTCATTCATCGGAGCCAGACCAGCAAAGTCATCCATGGGACAACCGACAAACATAAGGATCCCCATTCCTGTAACGAAATTAAACGTTTAGAATCACCAAAAAATATTCATAAATCGACTTATCTAGTATTACTCCATAATTTAATATAAACTTATAATATGAGAGCGCAAATAATAATATGATTTAATTTTTCGTATATAAAATGTTTCGTAATCTCTCACAAATTATGACAAACCCGACTAATAAAGATGGATAGACAATGAATCATATTGACTTGCCATCCACTAATCGTTGTTTCAAATACTATTAGAATCTAAGAAAATTTGCCCACTTTTGTTGAAGTTCATATATTTGGAGGTACAAAATAAATTGTATTGATTTGTTCTAAAAAAATATTTTAGATTAAAATGTATAATACATATATTTCAAATGCTTGATAATTTGATAATCAAAATTTTACTACAGAAAGTAAAGAGATTTAACGTAGTTCCGTTTTTGCCATTTAAGTAATCAATATGATTTATGAAAATTATTACGCCTCTGCAACCATTTAAAAGAACCTAGTCGGGCTATGTCATTAAAAAGACTCCCGACAAACGCATCTTCGTTCTGCATACATATGAGGAACTCAAAAGTCAGAAGTGGTAAACATGGGATCGAAAGCAAATTTTAGACGAAGACGAGTCACGGAAAGAGCAAAATTTTTGAACCAGTTCATTAACACTAGACTGAGTACAGATAAATAATGAAATTTGTAGATGTATTTGTCATATGGAGCAGACGTCAAATTTATATACTGCTGCTGTACAATATAAACAGGGTGGACAATTTGAAGTGGAAGTATTTCATAATAAATAGAATTTCTGAAATAACATTAGTATTTATTTCCATTAAAATTATTTATTTATTTTTGTCCAGACATTTTAAATCTACCTTGGCCTTGCGTATGGGGTTGCCAATACTTCTTCAAATGGCCCAGCCTATACATATATATATATATATATATATATATATATATATATATACAATGTCTCCAACCCCTGCTCCAATCGACTAACTCACTGTTATGTCATATTGCACTATCCGGATGTTGTCATATGGTCAAATGATATGCACTCGAACGGCATATTTATATTTTCTCTAACTGTACCTATACACTTTGTTGGTATACTTAGCGATTGCTCTTTACTTTACTTACAAAGTTGCACAATTAAATACAATTACTTGAAATCATATGACAGATAACTGTCTATTATGAAGTATAATGCTCGAATTCCTCCATAATTTTAGTAAAAATACTTACAAATCATATTGAATTATCAGTAATTAGTATGAATCCCGAAATAGGGGATTAGAAAATATTGGCTTGTCGAAATGACCTCAGAAAGCAGTGACACCAAAACGACCGGACTTACACACTCACCAAAACCCAATTGGCTCGATCCTTTATCAGTACTTTTTAAAGGTTTTTTTTGCTGAACCATCCAAATCGATTTCATTAATAAGTGGACTTCTATTCATGGGTTGACACTTATCTCTACTCATTCACGTTTCGGATGTTTTTCTCCAGAATCCACCTTTTTTCTGAAACGTGGCAGATCCATAAACAAATACATAATACTAAGGTGACCATACGTCCCGGATTTTCCGGGATGGTTCCGCATTTCCACCTTGCGTCCCAAAATTTTCTAGAAGCAATATTTACCCCGCATTAAGACCTCTTGTCCCGGATTGTTCCGAAATATTGAAATAATTCTTATTTTCAATATTCATTTTAAATATTAATTGAAATAAAGTAGACATACGTAAATTTATATTTAGTGCAAAATTTAATACCATGCTTAATACTGAAAAAAATCCATAATTCAATTTAGAAAGTTTAATATAGTAAAAAATGGATTAATCAAAAAAAATATTATATTCTTCAATAGTATTTTTGTGTAGCTATAATTTTTATTAAATAAATAATTAAAAACCTCCGATTTAAGTTACATTTAATTAATTACCTCCCACCGTTACTGTTTCCGTTCCGGAATTGAAACAATAAATATGAACTCCTTAATAATACAGACACACATATACGTTTGTTTCTTCTAAAGAACGCTAAAATGATCAATGGATCGTGAAACGTTGAAAATATCAAAAAACTCCATTTTTCATATTTCTGCGATGTTATATTTCCAGGAAAGTATCGTATTAATGAACAATCAAGATAATGTGTGTTTTAATTACAGTCGTGCTAAGCGAATGTATTCATTAAACTATAGTATTCAAAGCTGCGTCATAGATGGAATGTATCCAGACTATTGTTGTCATAGAATTGAACTATACCAGGGGTTAGTGGACTCAGTGTGCCCAAAACAAATCAATAACATAGGACGAATAAAACATAAAGGCCACAGTAAGGACGTACCAAACATTTCATTCGCATTTCCCAAACGACTGAATGGCAACGATTCACGAAGTCTGACAAACTCCACATAATTCATCCATTATTGATCTCATTTAAATTAATTATGAAATAACAACGACTATGAGTGTGTATATGTATAATAGTGTGTAAGCAAAAATTTGATTTTTCATCTAACTTTACTCAAAAACAGCTAATCTGATTTCAAAAATTTAAAAGCCATTCGATGAAACTCGATAAGGACTCGCGTTGATTAGTTGCGAGACGATCGACTGATCAGTGTCTTAGAATTTGCAGAAAACTGATTATTTACACACTTCAGAAAGTTTTTTCAACTTGCCTTGATGCAAAATCCTACTTACACCTAGTTTAATACATGATTTACAAGAAATTGTAAATTTCGGGTAAGAAAAATGGTACTTGTAAAATACATTTCTCACAAAAAACACTGATAAAATGATGTCACACTGAGGGTTTACAGCCGCAACTAAATACATTTCTAATACAAATTACATTTTTATTAATGTGTGATAGTTGTCAAAAAGCAAAAAATAAAATTTTAACGTTTCAAATAGCTTCACATAGACTGAACTAAACTTAGATGCGGAGTTATAGATTTCTATTTCTACATTGCGTAAGTGTTAGAAAATTGACTTTAGGGGAATAGTTGTGCATAATATTCCATATGTAAGGAACTCATGTAAAACTTATAAATAACAGAGTAATAGTTTCGTTCATTTAATGAACTACTGTTTAATCATATATGTAGGGGAAGTATGAAGAGAATGATATATATGAAGAAAATGACAATATATCACAAATGATTGTATAATATAAAGAAAGCCATAATCACAATCGTGTCAGATGTTGAGCGTCATTTCCACAATCTTGTCGCAGTAATCAGTACAAACGTTTATCGCGTCTTCAAGAGTTTATTTTGAGGATGGTTTTCTCATATTTTTTGGGGTCTTATTTATTGTTATTTGTAATTATATTAAAATCCAAGAAAATTATTGTTATTTGTAATTTCTATTAAAATCAAAGAACTTTTGCTAGTACTAGTAATTTCGGTCGAATAATCAGATGTTCGATGGAATTTTGATTATTTATTTATAATTGTTCACTTTCGGACAAAATGACATCCTTACACTATAGGCAAAATGACATAGTACCATTTTGTAAACACTACAAAGCGGTTACATTCGATGCCAAGAAAAATATAAGTTGAAACATGTCAAAGATGATTGGCTTTTAACTCCTACTACAACTACTTCTAAAAACAGACCGAAGGATCTACCGGTAAAAAGAAGGGATTTGCATTTATTGCAAAACTCTCATTTCCCGTTCTGATCCAGGCGAGGGTTGGTTGCGAAGTATGTTTTGTTCCCTGTGGGTTATAAAAATGCGTTATGTGATGATGTCCCGAACAGAAACCAAACAATTTCTTTGTAAATTATAGTTTTAAAAATTAGCATCTCAGTATGTCCTTACTCCATATGTCGTACTATATAGACGAAATGGATTTTGTAATTAGTTGCATTTTTTCCTTTATAGATATGTTCCTACTTCATTAAAACACTCTTTGACTTATAACCGATGAACCAAAAATAAGTAAAAATAATTGAGACTAGTTATAACATCATTAAATAAATAATTATAATTAAAAAACAAATCGCCATGTCATTTTGTCGGTACTTCCTCTAATAAAAAATGAGTTTCAATATTAAATTTGTTGCGTCCGTAGTATTGCACCCTTCATTGACAAAGTAATATTTGTCACTTTCCAAAATATATTGAATGTAATTCCAATTTCCTTTAGAAGCCACGAAATTATCGACTAAAATTATCGCCCATTAGCGTAATATAATAATGTTGTTTAATTAATATTCTAACGATGAATTAAATATATTATCTAATCAACTACACCTGGCAAACTTACCTATTGAATAAACAATGGCCGTGAAGGCGATCCACGCGGCGACTGACCGAGCAGTGGGATTGAACTTCAGTATCACGATGCCACTTATCACAATGCCAACACCCATTACCAGGATACCACCGGTTGCTGCAAATATACACATATATATTATTTATTCAATTACTTTTCACAATGGACAACAAATTTATCGACACGATACACTTGCATAAATCTATCGTAATAGTTTACGCAAATATTGCCTATATATATATATATATATATATATATATATATATATATATATATATATATAAATTCATATACATATATGTATGAACTTTTAAATATTCAAAGACATTACATAAAAATGAAAAGAATTTTTTTAAGAATTTGTATTATTCTATATGATTTCGCCATATGATCTTATGCCGATGTTAAACATTGGACAACCATATTGTTATATGGGTATTATTACAACACAATTAGCACTAACATATATTAATAAATTTGTCAGTAATTGTCTATCAATCTATCTCTAACTGAAGCTAAGATAATAATACGTTATTTTGAGAAGAGCGCTATCTTTTACGGGCATGGTTTTACTATATTTTAAAATATTTTTCTTTTGCATTGGATATATAATACCTTCGAAGATTTTATACATATATTCCAACATCGAAATTATATAGGCTGTTTCTAAAAAAAAATGTCACCTGGCACTTTTTACCCCGTAGGCGAGTTTAAATGAAACGGCTAGGAGGCAAACAGGTTGAATGTCCTATTTCTAACTTAAAAGGGATATTACGAAATATTATTCAGCCAATGCAAATTTTATATTTCATGAGTACATTTTTTACAGAGATAACACTGTATATAACTTTGATCCGGTATTTCGCCAGAAATATTTATCAGCAGAGTTGGAATAACTATTTATCCAATTTATCTTTTATGAAATTTCATTTTTTAACTTAATTTACTTTTTTATTTACTATTTTTATTGTTTACACCTTTGCCAAGATAAAGATTCAGTTGGTCTTTTTTATCCCGCCACGGCGTATGCCATTATACAGGCAATATAAAAAAAACTGTTAAATATAACATAAAATTAACAATATATCTTATAATTAAGAAACGTACTATATGTACATATTCAATACCATTTTTCACTTATATGTATTAACTATGTACATATGAACATACAACACTCTTTTTTTTAGTAAATATAAAATGATGTCACGAATATTTCAAGTTCGTGACTTTTAATTTAATCTTTATAGAATATTACAATTACAAAATACAAGTCTTGTAAATAAATTATAATTATAAAAATAAAATTTTATGATCGATGACAAATCTGCAAACAAATACTCGGGAACATTTTGTGAAGGTATCCGGTGTTTCTTTTGAAATAATAGGTATTAAAATAATGATTTTATTTTAATTTGACTTTAATACACTATTAATTAAATCAATAAAAAAATTATAAGTATATTGAAAAAATAAATATTTTATTTCATATACTTCTCATTAGCTATAAATTTTTAAAACAATTTTACCGCGTAAAAGATGAATGGCCCAATTGATTTGTAAGAGTTATATATAATAAAGCAAACTACTTCAATAGTATCAATTCATTGATCAGTTATGCAATAATCATTTCTATTATAGATCGAGTTAATAAACTATAAATGAGATAAAAGTGAAAAGAAATTCTCAGCTCCGCAAAATGGCGAGTGAAACAGATATTCTTCATTAAGTATTCAGTAAGAGTGATAATAAGAAAGTTTATTCGTGCAAGTAATCAGTGAGAATCTTGTTTTCTGCTACTGCATAATAAATAACTGAAACAGGCTGATGATATTGGCTTTTTTTTAAATATTTAAGTGAAGATTTAATGATTATGTTTCTACTTTAGTTCGTAATTATTCCTAATGTTATTACCAATAAAATTATTTCAAAATTTGTCAAATTCTTTCTTATTATTTATCTTCTATTTTATATTATATTATCGCAGTTTGTCAATAGATTCACTTTCTTTCTTTATAGTTCTTTATATATTTCAACGAAACATACAATATTCGCAGAGGCGAATTATTCTATTTCTAAATAAACTAGTGGTACATAGCATCGTGCCTTAAGGCAAATTGCAAGAACTTCCCGTACAAAAATTAAATTTTTTAAAAAAGATTCAATTTTTTTTTAGAACTTTGAAAAAATAAATTTTTGAGAATTTTAAAATGTTTGAGAAAAATTTGAATTTTTTTATACTTTGAAATATTTTGGAAATTTTGAACATTTTTTCAAAGCAATACGTTAACTGTATAGAAACAAAATATCAAAACGCGAAAGCGCCGCGTCGCAGTCTATCGGATAAACATTGTTACGGAACCCATAGAAAAGTAAACAAAATTGTTCTTATTATTAAATATCTGATAATTTAAGGCGCATATGTCTAATGACCATTTTTGTCCACCAAATGGCATGTTTCAATTCTTTTTTATAGCATCTACGAAACGAAACAGCTAGAAAATTTCATCAGTCTATACAACTAAAATACTTTTTGGATTATTCAAATCGGTCATTCGGCATTTCCGTATCTTCGGAAAGGCTAAACCTGCCTTTATCAAAAACTAATAATCACGTCTCCCCATCAATAGGAATCGGATATTTTTTGAATGATTCAAATCGGTTGATCCGTACTCTCGACATCGTCGACAAAAACTTTTATACGCACAGTTTTTTCAAAGGTATGCTAAAATATTCAGGAGGTCATGAAACGTAAAAACGTACAATAATTTTCATTTTCAGTTTTTTTGCGATTGCTATAACTTACCCTATAGAAAGTTAATAAAGTTTATCTATAAATGTTTAGAAATAAGTACGTACTTTACAATTCATTGGTCATTTTTGATTTGTATATTTATATGATTTTTCCTCATAATTAATTTAGGGATTATTATTTCATGATAGAATTGAAATTACAACCTCTTTTCTAGACCTCAATGGCTCAAAAATTAATTAACGTCTAATTTGTACCCTTGAAATAAATTAACGTCTAATTTGTCCATTGAGCGACAAATAAAGCTCTACCGTATCATGATACCCTGTCTCAGGCCTCCACTACTTGAAATTTGATTTCCCATTGATAACACTAATATTACAAGGTAATAATATATGGCTATTCACCATTTCAATATCGCTGGCACTCTATCATAATGGGTATTATTTATTTTGAAAGCGGAAAATAATTTTCAGGGAACAAAAACTCGTATAATATAAAATAGTGGTTACAAAGGGTCGAATATTTCGTTTCCGAAGGAGCAAAGTTGTACCAAGTAATCTATCGCTCGCATGACTTTGAATTATATAGAAATCTCTATTTGTTGAGAATTAGATTTATAGATTAACCACGAAAAGCAATATATAATGGGTAAATTGCATGAGTCCTTTCTTTTCATATATGTTATTACGAACATAACTGGATATTCGTATGATGTAAAATTTCAACTAATTTCGGGTATTTTAAAACACAACTCGAGACGCCGGAGTACATTTAGATCTATATCGGGCAAAACTTAGGCAGAAACATGTAAGCGAAGAACAAGGTAGCTGTCTAAGCCATTTTTGATGTAAACTTTTAGTAATGGTATTATTATATAGCGTGATACATATTATTTACAGATCCGGTGACAACTACAAAAGCAAATAAATGTATTACAAGACAACTATATCACAAAACCTCTTGTTTCAAACTGTTTATTAATCAAAAGCGCGAATCAGCCTAGTGAACCCTTGAATTATAATAGTATTCAGATGGTTCAGTTTTGATTTTAATACGTCACATTTATATAAAGATTATAGCTTGTTTGTTGTAATTGTAATTTATTACAGAGTAGAATAATGTACATTTTCTAGCAGCATAAATCTCCATATGAACTTTATTGCAACCACCATTCAAAATAAAAACTATTTTCAAAATTTTATAAACATGTCTTATGTCTGTCTATAAATATTAAATACATATTTGCGTTATTTTAAAAATCATATATGTAGTGAATCATTTTAATTAATAAATTCAAATGTACCTTAATAGAATGCATTATCTTTAACAAAATTAAACAGGTAAAGATTTTTCATTACTAATTTCCTTTTCCTTTCAATGCTTCCCTAATCACGACATCCATAGATAAACAAGACGACTTCTTACAATATGTAAAGAAGTAAACTATGTTATATTTCCAGTACTATTGTTTCAAATTCAAATATTTATTTAAAAATTATTTTGTAATATTAGATTAGAGTTTATAGTTTATTCAAACTTCCACGTGCTAAAATAATATTGGTTTATTCATAGCGTCAAAATAAACACAGATAAGCTATGACTATTATTTTTTTTTTACAATATAAACTCAAATTATGATTGCAATAATGAATAAATATTTATAAAATCAAAAAAAATATATGCAAAACCAGTAAGTATACACTAACTTTTAACTCCATAAATATTATATAATATTAATGAAGTTATCCTCATATTCTACCTTTGAAATTTGATAATTTGACAAATAAACGATGTGCAATTATGTTATGCACATATAGTGCACACAAGATTTTCTATGACATTAGCTCCTTTTCCTATTAAGATGATGATAATAGTAGCACCTTGCCCGAAGGTGTAAAAGCCCGATTTTCCTATTTTTCTTTCTTAAAAAGAAAAGACGAAATTTCTTTTTTGTTCCTGTCTTGTGAACCATCATCAATCATTTGCAATTCGGTTTCTATTCTGAATAATACCAAGGATCGTCTATATGATAAACAATGAGCTCACGGAACTAACTAACTTGTAAGGTTCAACTAAGGAGCAAATTCTACGGTAACATAGCCGAAAACATAGAGTTGTTATGGCCACGTTATCTTATCTTTCTTTCTTGATGCTAACAACTGTGAAAATACTATCTATTTGCTGTGCGATCAGGCGTTTTACACATATAACTGAACCGATTCTGCCGCACAACAGACCAATGTTATGGTAAGGCCATGTTACGCTTCAGCTTGCATACATTATGCTACTGAATTGTACTAAATACTGTCAAAATGTCAATGTCAAACTGTCAATCTGACGACCTGAAAAAAACGCCTAACGGCAC